ATGCTTCAAAAATAGCAAAGTTACTGAAAAACTGTAATGTAGAGAAGCTGTCTTCCTTATTAACAACATTACTCTTGGAATGTTTATATGAAAACACATTGTTTGTAGTGGGTGAAACTTCTTTCCAAATAAGAACTGCAGCTCTGAATTTGGCCAATTGCCCAGGGAATTTATTTTGGGATTAATTTAGGAGCTCACATCTTTACCATCATGGTCACTGGCATGCCCAATGACAGTTCCTTAATGCCAGATAAATAACTTGTCATAACATGTTTACACTCTATGACTGTAGACATCCACCATACAATCATTTTATGAATGGGCAAACCTCAGCCTCACCTATTTTGCACTTTAAACATGATAAATATGCCCACCAGTCTAAAAGATAAGAGATCATAATTCCAACTGTGTACAATAAGAGTGAATAAATAAATGACAGCTCAACTACTATTGTGTGGATGAAAACTAAGAACAGAATTTTTTTTCTTACCAGAGAATAAAGGTAAGAAATTCATCCATTGCTGGCAGTAGTAAAGTAAACTTTACAAAGTACACTGAAGTGTAATGTAATAGGTCTGGTTTTGGTTTAGAATATAACACCAACAATTGTGGTTTGCATATGGTTTAATGTGATATATTTATTCAGGTTTACCTAACAAGCCATACTTAAACAAATGAATTCTCAGTACTTTTGGCTAAATAGACATTATATAAGCTATCTGTAACATTTGAGGCAATATGCTTCTAGATGCCAATGCTGGAAAACACAAGCAAGAATCAATGTCCCATTTTAGGGCATCTGGCTCATCACTGAAGGAAACGATTATATTGTGCTAGATGTAGTGATCCAGCAGTGGTTGCCTTATTTTATATGTAGCTTTGTTGGGATATAAACATGTATTCTAGATTTTAATCTCATAATTTTGTCTTCATGCCTAACCTTATTTAAATCCTTCCAGGTAGTTCCTAATCAATTTCAGCAAGCTGTCTGAAGTACAGCACAAAGCAAACAAAATGTAAATGAAAAGCAGAAGCTATTAATTGAAAATCACATCAGCTCATTTCCTCTGTTCCTTTGTTTTGTTTGTTCGCAAAATTATCGTTATAAGAGGGAAACATGCTGTTGGGAGGTAACAGCTGGAGAAACAGCCTTGTGGTGAACAAAACTTGCTTGGGGTTTTAATGTAAATCTGTTGGTAACTGCTCTTGTCAAGAAGCACTGGGTAAAAACATGATGGACTGAGAGAGAGAAACCAGCTGTTCTAATTGAACTGGGCACTTAGGAAATGGAGCATGGTATGATTTCCATTTGGAACTTTGTCCTGATATTCTGGAGCAAAAAGAGAAAGTGAAGCTAAGATGTGTGTCACTGGTTTGTGGCCCAGTGGTTTGTTGAGAACCTACATGGTAGGTTTGAATGAGTTTATCATTCCAATAGATTGAATGAACCCCAACAATGTGTCTTTTAACAACAAGACACATTGATATAAACCAATTGGCCTAGTGATGATAGTACTTAAAAAGGTGAGGGGAACCTTCTGGGGTACCACTATTTATACCACATTTGGAATACATCTGAGTTGATGTTTTTCTTTGTATCTATATTGTAATCATTGTACTACAATTGGAAATGGCTATAGCTCTTTTAATCTAGAGGTTGCAAAGAATGTCAGACAAATAGTTTTTACTTTGTCTGACCTCCCTCTTTGCCTTCTCCCATCCCATTCCTGTATGTGTCTTAGTAATACAGAAGAGAGCAGTAAATGTCTGTTCAAGTCTTTCCACGTGATGGTGACTAGGATGGCCAAATTATAAACTTTTATTCAGATCTCTCTATTTCTTCCTCGCCTTCCCTCTCCCTGCGTGTGTGAGAGAAAGAGAAAAAGAGAATTTAGGGGTGGGGGGGTTGGAACTATTGAAAGATCAACCTTAGAAATATATACACAACGATATTGGAAGCTTGCTGAATAATAAACTGCTGTAACTTTTTAGTGACAAGAAATTTGGGGGAAAGAAGACAGAAAATATTATATTTGTTCTGATTTCAGATTGAAATAAAATATGCAATTGAGGAATCCTTCCTATAAATATCAACCCATATCAGTAAATGGTATGAGTTGGTGAAATAATGCTAGTTAATATTTGCATTTCAAAGGAAAATGTTTTTCCCTTTTATAAGGAATAGAGTCAGAAGAACCATTCTGTTGGAAATGAATAACAGGGAACACATCAAATTGCATTTTGTTAACAAATCAAAACTGATGCCTGGAAGGGTTCAAAGTATTGGTATCTTGGATGTTTTAACATTTTTCTAATATCTTTTGTTAGAGCATATAATATTTAAAAATAACATCTATTGAGTATGATGAGTTGTGGGAACACTGCCATTGAGTCATAAATCAGCAACCACATTTTAATCTGCAATGCACACACATCCTCACCATGAACAAGGCATTGTCTGATCAATTGAGAATGTGTGATACTCCATATTCACTTTGCCCAGCCAACTGTCACCGATTTCTGAAAGTTATGCAGGGTTGGCTGTAGAAATTACTTGAAAGGAATCCCAGGGGTGAAGACTAGATAAGGAAATATTCATAACAAAATTAAAGAAGAAAGCATTAGCAACCCACTAACATCTCTCTTATTGCCAGGCAAATTATATGGATGTAATCACTAGAAGTAGAAAATGACTTGAGGGCAAATTAATCAAAAAGGTATGAGGAATCTCTAGGAATTTAACTCAATTTGAACAAATCTTGACTATTCTGCTAGCAGTTCATTTGTGAATAGTAACGCCAATTAATATCAGAATACATTTTATATTCCTCTGCTCCATCATCATGGCCCATAGTAGAAATGCTTCCTTGGCAGGTTCATATGACTAGGTGGGGTGGGTGAGCTCTGTAGAATTCCATCGGTTGAGGAATGGAAAAGCATTTCTACAATAAGAATTGGTGGCAACATACAGGGCGGGGCATAACCTTTTCCTAGGGGGTCATAGCAAGATCGACAGCAGTTTACAACTTCCGCGACACCTCATTTTAAAGCCCATAAAAAACTGAATTGAATGAGCTATTAAATGTTAAATTTGCTTTAAGAATGGCTGGAAAATTCGATTCGGAAGAACAAAGGATCATTGACAGAATAAAATGCATTGCCTTTCGAGAGGCTCGCGATGCTGGAGCGACGTTTATCAATCGAAAATGGATTGCAAACAAATTGAAACGTCATCCGGATTGGGTTACTGATAATTGGAACAAAACAGCCCAAGAATGTTTCACAAAATTTGGAGAAGGGCGTCCTCTGCAACTGTCCCAAGAAAGCAAAGCCATCATTGCAACTGGCAGTCGCAAACAACGAAAAGGAAACCGAAAAGTGGCCCAAGAAATCCTTCAAATTCGTGGAAAACGAGTTGATCAAAGGACAATTGGCCGATATCGAGAACGAGAAGGTTTGAAGCCATTCCACGTCATTTGCAAACCATTGAAAACTCAAACACACGTTCAAGATCGGCTTTGGTTGTGTGATTGGTTGTCTGAATGGACCGAGGAAGATTTTCTTCATTTGGCGCCATCTGACAAATTCTTCGTTTATGCCATTCGAAAACCGAATTTCCAGAACGATCGAATTTGGGCTAAAGACGTCGACGACATCGCCAAACATGAACGATATCGACAAATCGTTCGCAATCCGACTTGCATCGGGATTTTCGTCATTTTCACAGCCAAGAAACTGCATTGGGTTTTGAAGGATAAAGGGGAATCCTGGGATGGCAGTTATTTCCGTGAGAAAATTTTATTGGAGAATGTCATTCCATTTCTCAGTGATCCAGACAATGTCTTGGTGGTTGGTGAGGCTGTCTTTCTTCATGACAAAGCTCCTTGCATGCGTGCAAATGCGACTCAGCAATTGTTAAAGGAAAACAATGTCGAATTTTGGGGCAATGACGTCTAGCCGGGAAATTCGCCAGATCTCAATCCGGCAGAGAACATTGGGGCCATAATTAAGGATGAAGTGGAAGCTCTGATGATTCAGGAGCAAGGTCAAAATCGATATTCGGTTGAAACTTTGAGAATGAATTTGGAAACTGTGTTGAAAAATCTGGAAAATCGAACGGAACTGTTTGAAGATTTGTTGTGTTCTTATCCACCTCGTTTGAATGCTGTTCGAAGGGCTAATGGTGGTCATACTGACTATTAAATCGTGTCAATAAACTCAGTTTTTGATGGGCTTTCGAATGGTGTATGAATTATTTGTGTTGTTATTACAAGTGTTGCTGTGACCCCCTAGGAAAAGGTTATGCCCCGCCCTGTAGAGCTACAATGCATGGCCAAAATAAAATCCCCCTTGCACATTTTTCAGAGAACAATTGTTCTCTGCAAGTTCCTTCATGTTGCTATGCTCCTGGGCAGGAGCAGCAGAGTAGCCTCTGGTCTCAACCCCTCCCTTCTTTTCAGCTGTCACAAGAGTCTGGAGAGGAAGAATTGGGAGAATTGTTGGCTAGGGTCCTCTTATCTCTATTGCAGTGATTCCCAAACTTGGCAACTTTAAGACTTGTGGACTTTAAATTCTGCTGGCTGGAGAATTCTGGGAGTTGAAGTCCACAAGTCTTAAAGTTGCCAAGTTTGGGAACCACTGCTCTATTGGTATATCCCATGAATCACCCGTCCAAGGAGTTCAGCTGTCCTTCTGCTGGAAAGTTAACAGTTGCCTTTACCTCGGCCTTTCTGCAGAAACGAGATCCAACAGCTTTTCAAAGATACAGGATGAGCAGCATAGTTTCTCCGTTTTCTTTGAGAGCTCAGAAGAAAAAGGCGAACCAGCAGGCAGGAAACTAGGGGGTAGAACGCGGAAGCCAGCTGTTGCCTCGGTTCTATGAAGGGGAGCGGGGATATGAATGCCGAGGAAAGACAGAGGGAGCCACCTGCTTGCTGGATTTCCAGGCAGCGAAGGAATTTGTTCTTTGACCTGGGAGGGATGGGGGGGGGGGCGAGAGAATGAGAGAGAGAAGGAATGAGAGAGAGCGCTTTGGCAGAACTTCTGCTTTTCACTCCATTGTTGAGCCAGCTTCTTGTGTTGGAGCATCTTGAAGACAGCAAAGGCCCAAGAAGGCTTCCTTTCTTGCGTGGGCTTTGTTTCTGAAGCTTTTTCAGCCACTTTCGCGTGGGGCGCCTTTTGCTTTGCTGGCCGGTCCGGCGAATCAGCCAACGAGCGCGCTCCACTGGGGAGCTGAGGCTGAAAGGTAAAATCTCTAGTGTTTTTGCTCTCTCCCGCATATTTCGTTTTGCACAAGCAGTAGGCGAGAAGCTGGTAGTTGGATAAATGAGCTTCTGCGCACGGCTGATTCGCAATCCTGCTTTTGTTAGCGAAGTTAGTGTTCGGTTTAATCTTGTTTTGTAATTTTTGTCGTTGCTGCTTCTGATAGCAGTAGCTATAAGAAAAGAATTTTTCTATAGTTAATTTGTTTTTTTACAAATAACTTATTTCCTTTTTAAGAAAGTCATTATTCCATATACTGTTCTTGTGCTGTTCACTTTGTCATTCCTGAATTAGTCATTAAATAAGTTGATTGAGAAGTTGTGTTGCACATACAAGATGTATAAAATCTTTTGACACAATCCAGGTGGAATTAAACATACTTAAGTGCCATCCATTTTAACAGCTGGCATTTCAGTACCTTATGTGTTCTCTCTTAAATTTCTTGAGAGTAAAAATATTTATTTGGGCAGAATTATATTCCTAGGCTCTTTCTCTCTGTATGTATGAATAAATAAATAAATTTATTGGCCTCCCATCTTGCTACAGGGTAACTGAACAGTTCTCTTGCTGCCAGAAACAAGCAATCACATTGACTAGCATGCAGTGTGAATTTAGTTCTTGTAGTTAGTGTATGGTTCAGAAAGTTAAGTGAATCTAGAAATTGGTTTAATAAAGCAAATTGTAGTTAACCATAGGGATGTTGTGTAAATCCAACTGTTGTGTGGCCCCCACTTTTTTTAATGCAACTCTTAATTCCAGTACCATTTTGTAGTTGAAGAAAGATTTAATTTGCAGATCTCAATCCTTGTAGATCTAGTTGCTCCAAGCAGAAAATATTAAGGAAGTATGGGATATTGCTCCTTGTTCAATGGAGAGTTAATTCCGGGGGGGACGGGACGACTCCTAAAGAGTTAATATTTAGATTTTGATACTATTCCTACTCTTACTCCACAGGATTGTCTGAAAGATCAGTTTTTAATGTAATGTAAATTATTTCTGGATGTTAAAAAGGCTTATTTTCAACCTGGCAGCTCCACCTCAGTTTCTATTTTGTCCTAGAACCAAAACTGAATGAGCCTTTTCTAATGCTTTCAGGTTATACTTGATAGACACTAAATAGAATCAAGAGGATCTCTGTCTGCCAGGAACCACTGATAGCATAAACTGATGTAGTATGATGTCTCTTGGAAAACTTTTGGTCTGCTCCAAAAAAGGCAGAAAGAAAAGAGGGAAGATGAATGACTTAGTTCTGATGAAATGTGAGAGGAATGGAGTCCTTGGCTCAGATAATTCATCTGATTAATTCTGCATTCGATGCAGTTTGTTTTCTTCTATTATAATGGTTAAGGCATCTGGCTGGAACCCAGCTGACACTTCATTCTATTCCCAGTTGGACATAAAGCCAGCTGGATAAGTTTAGGCCTATCACTTTCTCTCAACTCTAGGAAGGAAGCAGTGCCAGACTACTTCTGAAAAATCTTGTCCAAAAAAACTGCAGGAACTTGTCTAGGCAGTCCCTGAAATTCGACCCCATTGAACAAAATGTTGGGTCTAGTTTATGGTAGAAGTATCCTTACTATTTTATAGCATTAACAAGGCCTGGGGACATGGGAACAATATTCTAAGCAGTGCTTTCTATTAACAGAATAGATTTTGTGATACAATCAGGGTAGACCTAGTTTTCAGATAGACACTTTATATTAAAACAGATTAGTGCTTCGACTTTGATGGCTTCCAGATGCATCAGGCTATGATGCAAGTTATGCCCAGTCACCATGGCAAAGATCTTTATTGACTGGTGACGACTAGCCTGACCCTACTTTAAAATTGGAATTATGGTTCAGTTCAACTATTTATTTACTTACATTGTAATAAATAAAACTCAGAGTTAAAAGTTGATCTTTTAATAGCTGTGTTAAGTTCTCCATTTGTAATACAATGTTGATTTTCTTTATCTTTGAAATAAGGGCTGTGTCAACACCTTCCTCCAACAAAGGCAGCATTTGCATAACTTGATTATAGTACAGGACTAGCTACATCTTACAACAACCTTTATCTAAATGCAAACTGTTGCTAGGTAAAACAACAGATTAAATAATGACGTTGTTCAACATAGTTGGAGTATTTATCTGTAAAATGTATTAGTCATCTATGCCAGTGTACCAGATACAGAAGACCATGGTTAAAATTAAAATTTGACTCTTAAAGTGCACCTAGTCAGTTTTCATATAGAAACACACAAATACACTCACACATTTTACTTTCAGAAAATGCACTTAGTACCTCACTGGATTATTATACAATATTCTGGTGTTAATGATTTCCAGACTCCTGAAAATTATATAACTTAGTGACCTTTCACCCCAAGTGCCACATTCTGTTTCACACAAGAGCTGTAATTTTGTATTACAAACCAAGGCTGTTGTTCAGAAATGATTTAATAAGCAGGCCATATAAATTCATACAAACATTACTTCAGCAGAAAATAATTCTTGTTAGATAATAAATGAACATCTTATTTCACTAATATAGTTAGCAATTTACTTATGCTTAACTGGGTTTCACAGGCCCAAACATGGACACTGTCCTCATAGAGGGGCCAAAGTCATTTTACAATATGCCTAATTTTGGTTGAACAAGTTCTGTGAATCTAGCCATTAAGATTTAGGAATCATGGTTCATGGTTTATTATAAGTGCATTTATTGTCTTAAATCATGATTTCCTTAAATATGTTTTACTAGGTAAACCACAGTTGTAGGTAGAGCTATGCAAAATGCTTTACAAGTAAAGAGTGGTTGTTTCATTTTACAGCAAACAAATTAAATTCTAAAACTTACATAATATAACTTGTCTGATGTTTTCTTTTCATGTCAAAGTCATAATTTTTAGGATCTTTCATGGTATGATCAGAAATTGCAAGTTCTCTCATAATTGTCCCAATTTCTTCTTTTAATCACAATTATCACATCTGGAAAACATTTAAAAATACAAGAATTATGTATGAACAAGTCTTCAGTTAAAAGATGTAAAAAACTCACACCACCTACAGGTTTTCACCATCTTTCATAGGCAGTTTTCAGTTTCATATTTTATGATGCCCCAAAGAGTTGTAATGGAAACATAATCCCCCCTTTGGTTAAATCTTGTTGCTCCTGAATTCTGATGACCATTGTAAAGTTCAGTATGCCTTGACAAATTTGTTCACAAACTATATTTACATGAGAGGATTGTTCTCTTGAAGCGTCAGGTTATATTTTGGGTAGGTTTATTAACTTGGTGAAAATTTAGCTTTTGACAACAAAGAGGATCAAGCAGGCCTCCCGGCCCGTGGGCCGGATGTGTCATGTGCTGGCCACACCCATGTCCATTTTAGCAAAGGGGAAAAAAGTCCCGATACCTTATGTGCACCACTGTGACAACGTGAGTTTGACACCCCTGGAATAAAGGATCTGGAGACTATATTTTATGATGAATGGGTGAGGCAGATAGATATGCCTATCTTATCAAAGAGAGAAGGATTAGGGCAACAGAAGAGGCAACAGACAGCAATGTCTCCACCAACCACCTGGATGACAAGCCTGAAGGCTAAGGAAATGAGAAATGTCCCCCCTCTACCAAGCTCATGTGGTGGGGGGAATCACCCAAGCACTGAACAAGGCTCAATTATTTCCATGCGCAGGTACGTTAACAAAATTTGATGCTATACTGATATTTCCCAGTGGCCAGGAAGCGGACTACCTTGTTTTGATAGATTGTTTGGAAACTGTGGTGAGTTTCTGTGGACACGGTGGCTAACATACTGAGCTTTTTGATTGAAAAGCTGGCAATTTGGCAGTTCGAATCCCTAATACAGTGTAACGGGGTGATCTCCTGTTACTTATCCCAGCTTCTGCCAACCTAGCTGTTTGAAAGCATATAAAAATGCAAGTAGAAAAATAGGAACCACCTTTGGTGGGAAGGTAACAGTGAACAGCCGCATGGTCACGGAGATGTCTTTGGACAGCACTGGCTCTTTGGCTTAGAAATGGAGATGAGCACCGCCCCCTAGAGTTGGGAATGACTAGCACATAGGTGCGTGGGGAACCTTTATCTTTATTTTTACTTTATGGAAATTGCTGACTCCATAAGTCTAGGCACAGTCCAGAAATTTAAGATCCTCACTGTTCCTCTGAAGTCTCCATTGCCAGGGATAACTATTGTTGTCCAAATTTTAAAAGCAGGTTCCATCACACAATAGTGCCTCTGCAATTGACAATAAATTGATATTCCTAAACAGTAACTCATTTTGAGGCTGACCATATTGATCTTCCATTGGTGATGGGAATTGCTTAGTTACAAAACGCTCACACTATTAATCTTGTCAATCAGATCTCCAGCATGTTGTTTACAGCTTGCTTGCTCTCGGCTGCCATGGAAATGGGAAGGAGTTTTTTGGCAATTGGGATGGGAAGGGAAAGAGAGAGGGTGTGAATTGAATTGAATTGAATTGAATTGAATTGTTTATTATTTATAGGCCGCCCTTTTCCCTGAGGGGACTCAGGGCGGCTTACAATTCATGGGAAGGGGAGTGCAAGACAATATAACACAATACGTGAATAAACAAAATAATAACAATAAAACACAACAGTCATTCAACATTCGGGTGGGGCGGCGTAATCCTTATCCCCAGGCCTGACAGGATAGCCAGATCTTAAGGGCTGTGCGGAAGGTCTGGACGGTGGTGAGGGTACGAATCTCCACGGGGAGATCGTTCCAAAGGGTCGGAGCTGCTACAGAGAAGGCCCTCCTCCGCGTAGTCGCCAGTCGGCACTGACTGGCAGATGGAACTCAGAGGAGGCCTAATCTGTGAAGCATTCCCATGAGAATTGGAAGGGAGGTTTGCACCCATAAACTGATTCCTAGGACTCAGCTGAAGAGCTTTCCCATAACATCATATTGGATGCTGATTGGTTTTTCTGGGGTGGACTCTTGGAGGAAGGGTT